TGGATTTAAACATTCTTTGAAACATTTGGGATAATGCAAGTACACAAGTCAGCAAAATATATAACACTGTTCTAGTGGTTTTCGGATATTTTAATAAAAAAAATCTTACATATTGTGCCTTTAACGCGGCTTAATGCATTAACACTGTGTTTTTAAAGGACCAGTAAACACATTATTAATAAAGCATATCATGTACAGACAAGCAGGTGAGTCCCGAATTAGAACGCAACATGTTTAATTACGCATTATTAAGCGTTTTCCTCCCAAGGTTTAATGCATTAACGTGACTTAATGCATTAAAACAGTTTTTAAATGACCAAACTCAATAAACATTATTAACATAGGCTAAAGCTTTATTCATAAACACCAGCCGCGAAAATCCGTCTACATATATCTCAGGGTAATGTTTGAACTGTAAAGGCTACATTTGAAAAACATTATACAGTAATTTGCTATGCTCCGCTATGCTCAGCTGCCACTTTCCACGGCCGCGGTTGTTATAAAAATAAAAAAAATTATAATTTCTTAAGTCACAGTTTAGTAAACTGAAAAAAGGAGAGAAATGGCAATTATTAATTTATGAAGTAACTGAAAAAAATGAAAAAATTAATGTTTGGTTTCATTTTTGCATTTGCACCATATGGTCTGAGAATTGAATTGTGAAGCATTACACGGACCCATAATCATAATAGTGGCTTATTTAGAATAAGGTATATAATTAGATTACTGATGTCCATGTAAACGTAGTCAGTGACAGTTTACCCACATGGCTTTGGCAGAACACAGAGTTGTGGTGTGAAGGTCTGTGTTGGAACAGCAGTTGCTTGGGTTGCGTTTCATGAGTCCAGTTATTTGTTGAGATTCCCCGTCCCTCCGTCCCCTTCCCATCATTGCCTGGAAGCTGGCTTGATGTCTTCCAGGAATTAAGCTATTTATGCCAGGCTGCAATCTAGGACTCAGCGTGTACATGTGTGCGTGTGTGTTTTATATCAGGGTCATGCAAGAGCAAACAAAGGACGAAATGCTAAAATAAGAATGATTTTTGGAAATATGCAGTGTTTTTTGTGTGGAAAAATTTATGTGTTGTGTATACATTGGCCCGGAGGGTACTAATATGTTTTTATTCTTCGTTTATTAAATGTCTGACAGTCAACATGAAGAGAAAGAGAAGGCACTAAAGAAACAGCTTTCTCACTTGGCCACCCTCTTGCCCACCCTTCAGGTACTTTAAAGAGATGGTTCATCCAAAAATATAAATTCTGTCATCATTTATTCACCTTAAAGGGTTCATATGATGCGATTTCAATTTTTCCTTTCTCTTTGGAGTGTTACAAGCTCTTGGTGCATAAAGAAGATCTGTAAAGTTGCAAAGACTAAAGTCTCAAATTCAAAGAGATATTCTTCATAAAAGTTAAGACTTATCCACGCCGTCCTAAAACGCCTCGTTTAAGCAAGCCCCCACATGTCTACGTCACGATGTGGGAAGATTTGCATAACGCCGCCCAAATGTTCACGCAAAGAATTTTTTAACCTTAAACCGCATAAACACATTTCATTACACCAAATACACAAAATAATGCTCTTTTTAGCAGCATCATTTGACCCTTTAATGTCGTTCCCAAACCATATGACTTTATATCTTATCTTTGTTCTCAGGTGCACCTGGTCAACTGCTCCGCTTTTCTCAGCTCAGCCAATAAATATGAGTTCTTAGATATGGGATATGTAAGTAGATCTATCTACTTAGGGATATGTAGATGTATTTATACTTTAATTGTTTTTTAAATACCCTACCAGTCAAAATTTGAAATAAAACTGTAATATTGTGAAATATTATTACAATTCAAAATAACTGTTTTGTATTTTAATATATTTTAAAAAGTATTCCTGTGATGGCCAAGCTGATTTTTCAGAAGCCATTACTCCAGTCTTTATTGTCACATGATCCTTCAGAAATCATTCTAATAGGCTGATTTAGTGCTCAAGAAACATTTCTTTATTGTTTAATAGGGCTGCAAAACGATTAATCGCAATTAATCGCATTCAAAATAAAAGTTTGTTTACATACTATATGTGTGTGTACTGTGTATATTTATTATGTATATATAAATACACACACATATATGCATATATTTTAAAAGATATTTGTATATATACTTATACTTGTATATAATTTATATGATATATAAATATAAATATTTTATATATAAATCATATTTTTCCTTAATATATTAATGTATGTGTGTATTTATATATACATAATAAATATACACAGTATGCACACATATAGTATGTAAATATAATACATACCATAATACAACCCTTAACAGCAGTTGATGGACAGACTGTGTAGCATTGTAAAGCTTCCTCACAAGCTTCGTCCTGTCCAGAGTAATAAGGTGAGTTCACAACCAAACATACTGACCATTGTGCAGATCTCTGACACTAAAGATGCATCGAACCTACAGATAAACACAGACTACCATGCTGAGTTTGCCCGCTGTCTGGAGCCTCTTCTGTTGTTGGGCCAGTGGAGGCCTGGCTCTGTAACTGCAGGAACTACCTTGAGTAACAGGTGAGCAGTTTATCTGTTACATCATTCATAGTATTATGCAAGAAATGTTATATGGCAGCACTGTTATTCTACCTCTGTTTGTTTGGCCTTGTACTGACTGTGTTCCTTACTTTGCTGAAATGCTTTTGAAAAATACATTTATGTATGATGGTGGTCTCATTTCAAATTTTGTGATATTTATAACTAGAAGAATTGTACTGTAAAAATCTAAACTGCACAACATTTTTGCAATCAATAAATTATAATTTGGATAACAATAAACAAACATTTTTTTTTGCTGGTAGGTTGAGTATTTTAATATAAAACAATATATTAATGTAAATATATAATAACTTACAGACTTTGATTCAAAAGTTTGGGGTCAATGCAATTTGTTTTTAAAGTAAAGACACAAACATATGAACTGATTTGAACATTGATAATAATAATAATAATAAATGTTTCTTGAGCATTAAATGAACAAATAATTTCTGAAAGATCATGTGACACTGAAGAAATATATATTAAAAAAGAAAGCAGTTATTTTAAATCACAATAATATTTCACAATATTACTGTTTTTACTAAGGGTGTAACGGTTCAAATTTCGTACGGTTCGGTACGTATTGCGGTTTTGGGGTCATATTTCGGTACGGTTCGGTATGGGGATAAGGGGAGTATTATTAGAAATTTCCACAAGAATACTCTACTGTCTGTTTGCTAAAAAAATAAAATAATAATAATAATAAATGTAAAAGTTTGCCTCAAGTAAAATTCATATTTCTATTAATATAATTGCAGTCCTTTCTAATGCACTCCATCATGCACGCACATCCTCAAGTCTTTCAAGTTTAACTCGACTGCTGATAAAACAAAAATTGTTTGTAAAATTGTTTGCAAAACAGAAACAAGCGCATTGATTTCAGTTCATTATATTTACATTGGAAATCAGTGTATTAGAGTGTGATTTGCCTAAAGCTTCCAATGACAGCAGTGAGGCTGATCACACAGGACGAAGTTCAAATCATAAATGAATCTAGAGATCCAAAAACTTAAAGGGGTCATGACATGGATTTTTTTTTTTTTTACTGTTTCTTGATGTTTACTTATAATGTTAATAAAGTTTTTTGCACAAAAAAAATAAAAAATAAAAATATGTAGAAAAATTATTCTTTTCAACCCTCATTCTGACATCTCTTTGAAACAACCAGTGTTTAAGGGGTGGGTCCTGTAAGGCTTGTCAGTAATTGGCTACTGTTATGATTGGCTAACGTCATTGCATAGGAAACAGTAACGCCCCTTCACTATTGCATGTAAGTGTTTTGACAACATAATCAAAATAAAACGGTCATTTCCAGACAAAGCAAATCATTTACTTACAGTTTGTGAGGCAGCTGCAGTCCGTTTCAACCGTTTCATCTTTCAACAAATGTTTCTTTGTGAACTCTCCATGTTAATGTGCCTCGTTTACAAAACAAAATGCTCTGAACGATCCTCTGACGTGATCTGGGGTGCCATTCAAAATAAACTATCCACTTGTCTCTTATGCTGGGAACCTTCTGATATCTGTACAAAGACGCGAACGAGCTTTTTAAACCAAATGCATCAAAGTGAATGTTCTTTCAGTCCATTTGTCCTATTGAAAGACCCAAGCGCATGGACTGTGTCAGAAAGTGAATACGTTTCTGTATACTGCATCCAGTGTAGACAAGATAGCGGCAGTGATTGTAATTTCTATTTGTTTGTGACGCGACACTCACATTCAGCATAATCAAGTGTCAGCCGTTAAAGTCCATGAAATAACAATTTACAATCTTTATTTTTTTAGCGCCCATTACTAGTCTTAAGATCAACAATTACCAATTAATTCGTGCACAAAAAATTGTTTGTCTTGGTAAATTTTAATCAAAATCTGATCATTTATTCCGCTCTGGAATGGAATGCCTTCTCTGATGACGTCAGTTTGACGGCTTGGGCCATGGCTTGGGCAGAATTTGCTTAACCACACCCCTCCAACCGTTTTCAGTTGAGACGCTGTGGTTGCTATGATACAGAATAGCTATGATACAGAATATCTACTGAAGTAATGGCAAACACATAGGGAATTAAATGTTTCTCCAAGCATTATTTTTTGTAACAATATATGGTAGTCCGGCAATTCAATCTGTTAAAGACATAAATACTCTGAGGCAAGCAATATTACCTTCATTGTTGTTCAGTCGTTGTACAAGCAGGGTGGTCGGTATTAGTCCCACCCCTTCTCCACTGTGATTGGTTAGCTGACTAGAAAGTGACAGCGATGAGCGCAGCGTTTTACCCAAAGTAGAACATTCTTGAACTCTCGGCGCTGAGAAAAAAACGCCCAAACGCTCAGCGCGAAAAAGATGCTCAGCGCTTGGCACGCTCCTGGCGTGTTAAAAAATGTGGCGCTCCCATTGAGAACAATTGAAAAAATACGCTAGCTGTGGGGAAAAGCGTTTTGGTGGACACACAGCCTTTAGTTTCCTGCAAGTGAGAGATGAGAAGAGGAGTGCAAAAATAAAACCCCACCCTCTACTCAATATTCCGTTTCAGTTGGAAATACGTCACCATACTGAAATAAAGTCGACAGTAACTTCCGGTTCACGCGGACTTTTAAGTGGCTGAACGCCAGTGGGCAGGGCCTATGTCGATGTGTTGCTCTGGAGGTGATGTTTATGCAAATGTTTGTGAATGTTTGCAAACGAGCTTAAAAAATACTTTGCTTATAATGAGAAGGACGTTTTTAGCTATGAAACTTGCTGGATGTTTTAATGGTACAAATACCTCTTATATGCCAAAAGATCAAGGCAAATTTGATTTCTCATGTCATGACCCCTTTAATAATATATTTGTTCATATAACAACACAGCAGCTACAATTAAGAGAGAATTCCACTAAATGCTTATAAATTTTAGTTTATTCATTTACACTGCTGCCATTTCATGGAGATAAACGTCTTCTTCTGCTGCACTTTGTTCCTGTAGCCACCCTTTAGTGGTTTGGCTGTGTGGTTGCAGAAAGACGCACAGACTTAGACACGAGAAAACGTGCTGTGCAATAAAGAAAGTTGTCACTCCAATGTGTATTTGAAGCCTTGTTTTTTCGCCAAAACATATCTTCCAAATCCTTTGTTAGAACTGAGATTAATCGCGGTACAAATGCGTACCAAACCGAGGGTGGCGAACTGTACAGTTCGGTGTTTTACAGAGAACCGTTGCACCTCTAGTTTTTACTGTTATTTTTGATCAAATAAATGCAGCCTTTATAAACTTAAAAGACTACTTTCAAAAACATTTTTGAAATATATATTTATATATATATTTATTATTTTTAATAAAGCATTGATGGGTCATCGATTTCCACGAAATCAGTGCCTTTTCCACTTGGAAAAATTTAAATATAAAATAAGTTTAATTAGCTTTTTTTTTTTTCAATATCCATGAAATGAAAACAGCTTAAAATGACAAGAAATTGTATCATTGAAATGGTATTATATACAAGAATATGTAATCTATTATTTTATGATTATTTTACTATTTTTCTGGTATTTTTGTCAACCCTGTTACAAACACAAGCATTACTACTATATTTTAATTAGAACTATGTGATAGTTCCCCTTCAGGAACTCGTGCATTCGCCAAAATAAAATATCGTTTGGCCAGCCTAGAAACAGGGGGCTCGTCCTAAAAATAATTAGACGAGCATTTTCTGAATCCAGACCACAGCCTTCATGACGGGGGCCTTCCGTTTTTCCCCGATCTAAGGGGAACGTCTCTAGGTTACGTATGTAACCATGGTTCCCCGAGGGAACGAGACGCTGCGTCTCTTTGCCATACTCCCTGCATCCCTCCAGGCGCTACTTCATCGAAGCTGGTTTGCGCTCTGCCGGATGCGCTTTTATACTTTCTGTTGCTTACGTCACCCCGCTCGTGACGTCTCGCTACTCCATTGGACTGATTTGACATGTGCTTCAGAACGCGGTCACGCAAGGGCGTTCCCAAAGCGACTTCGACGCAGCGTCTCGTTCCCTCAGGGAACCATGGTTACATACGTAACCTAGAGACGTTTTCACATATATGAGCAGCATTTCAGTCCCTCATTTAACTGGGATTGTTTCAAATTTGGGATTTTTAAAATTATTTTTATATTTGTCATTCAGCAGGAACATCCTAATTTTGGAGGGTAACTGCATGTCAATTTAGAAAAAATATATATTTTTACAAGAGAGATATTAAAAAAAGGGCTATGTCCAAAATAAAATATAATTCAAATTACGTTAAGTTAAAGTCAGTTCATTGTGCATTGTAATGTCCTAGAAGTGATGTCACTTGAATGTACATTGTTTTACAAGGTTTTTTTTATTAGGGTAACAGGGCTGATATGAAACAAGGGAACACCAATAAAATTATTTATAATTTATAGAAAAAATGTGTACTTATGCCAAAAACATTGCTTAGCAATGAGACTGTATTTAGAACAATATGCACATATGATTTTTATATAATTTTGACTTCATATTAAACGTCCTGCTGAAAAAGAAAAACCATAGTGAGGGACAGGCCAAAAACCTTACCCTAATCAGCATCAATGCTATTTACATTATTTATTTTTAATATTGAATTGACTTTTTTGATGTAATATTGATGAGAGAATACATAGTATTGTTTTATTTTTAAATCACAAATTTATTTGTTGTTATAATAATTATATGTTTGATTACTTCTTATGGACGCAAAAGACACTCATTTCGTGTACTCAGGTACTCAGTTACTGAATTCTGTCTAATGACTCAGAGCTGACAGCACACAACAGGAAGGAGACACTGGCATTACTCTGGTGCTTACTCAGCCGGTTATTAAGCTCCTAAACAGAGAAACATTTATGTAACTTTCCCTGACAAGCACCAGGTGGCAACTGTCCTGTTATAGCCAGAGTTAGTCCTGTGTCTGTGAGGTGCCAGGAGCTGAGGTGATAACATGAGGCACAGGGACACAGGAGCCAGACTTCCTGGAAAGCTCTCATTCCGGGAGAAGGGCTCAGAGAGTTATGCCACTGACTGGAGCACTTCAGAGCCTTATTCATAATATAGCTGCATATGAGTACTGTTTCCAGATCAGTTTGCAGTGAGAAAGATTAGTGCAGCAGAAGTGAACATGTGCAGTATCAGTGCAAATCTATACTAACAGAGCTTACGAAAGAAAGGGATGTCATCCTAAATTCCTATTCTCTGAATCCACCTCAGATCTAATTGAATTCCGGGTTGTGTCAAACTCCTGTTGCCATGGAGTGAACTATATGGAGTTTTTAGAAGCACTTTTCCAAGAAACCAGAGGAGAGGGATATCTGCTTAATGTCTGCATTGATTCCTGTCTATCTGCATAGTGTAGTAGCTATTTTCAGGGCTGGTGAATGTTAGCTGTGCAGTTCTAGCTTTTGAAACTAGTTCTGAGTTTGTTTGGCATGCCATAGTGCATACTGTTATACAACAGCCCCAAAAAGTATCTGGACATTAGTATTTGAGTTAGATAACAAAATATCAATCCATGATTAGCTTTTCTCGGGCCTAACTTGAATTAACTTGCCATTAAAACAATATTTTTTTTTACAGGAACTGTAGACATGTTCCATAAAGTTTGACACCAGAAAGAATCAAAAAGGAAATTGTATATATATTATCAAACAAAGGAACACAGGAACAACTGAATACAAACTAAACGTTCATGAAACTGAAACTAAGCATATCCGCAACAACACATATACAGCATATTAGTGCTGTCATTTAATGAAAAAAATTACAAATTAATTGCACAAAATAACTAATTATTCACACACTTTTCTGTAATTAATTGTGATTAATTGCATATTAATATACGTATATTTTTCATAATTTCACATCAAATCTCCAAAACAACATAAAGATGGTATATTTTAAATACGCGTTTAAACGTTTATTTCTTAGTCTATTATTAATGAAGGCCAGTATCACTGATACCAATTCTGCTACTGATGTCTCATTAATTGTAGCCATTCAACATTACAGTATAATTGAAAGCCATTGTTTTTAACAGTTAATAGGCTTTGAAAAATAGTGAACTTAATACAATATTCACATAAACTATAAATTGTAAACTATAAGCTGAATATAGAGTCTTTATTCAAGAAACAAAAGGTAATCATTGAAGAGCATCGAAGTTAATTCTCTTTTTCTTTTGTTCTGTGATTTACATCAATGACACAGACTGCAGCAGGTTTTCTCCCAACTCTTTACGGTTATTTAGGACTTTTTAACTAATTTAAAACCTTGTTTACGAGGTCACTCGCCAAAAATGCTGTCTGAAGCAGCTTTCTGTACATATGCACTTGTCGGATGCCTGCGTTCACAGAGAGCTGCTTTACAGACAGCACGCCAATACTGAATTAAATGGATAGGTAACCCAAAAATGAACATTTTGCAATTAATTATGTATTTTTTATATATATTTTTGATGAAATTCGAGAGCTTTCTTATCCTGCATAGACAACGCAACTGACATGTTTTATGGCCCAGAAAGGGCCTTGAAATTGTTGAATAAAGTCATTATTTTTGTTTTCTTTGCACACAAAAAGTATTCTCATTGCTTCATATTATTAAAGTTGAACCACTGATGTAAGAGACAATTTTAACGATGTCCTTACTAGCTTTCTGGGCCTTGAACGTATCAGTTGCGTTGCTGTCTATGCAGGGTCAGAAAGCTATCGGATTCCATCAAAAATAACTTTATTTGTGTTCCGAAGATGAACGAAGGTCTTACAGGTTTGAAACGTTATGAGGGTGAGTAATTACAGAATTTTCATTTTTGGGTGAACTACTGCTTTAAGTTCTCTTTTGCGTCTTATAGTGCTTGACAGCAGTCTGTACTGTACTGTTTACTGTAGCACTAGTCAAAGGATGCCAGGTAAAAAAAATGGGATGCTGTGTTAATTACGTTAAATATTTTTAATGAAATCAATTTAATGCATCCGTTTGATATTTTGTTATGTAATGCTATGTCATGCATTTTTAGGTCTGGCCTAAGCGTCTAAATATTTGTTGGAGCCATTGCAAAATATCAGTTCTAATCCTCTTAGTCCACTGTCATGATTAAAAGTTTCCATATTGAATTTTCATTGCCATGCCACACCATCTGCTGTTGCCACACGTTTACACAAAAGACTCAGCATTACAGCCTCGATGCATCTACACGGAATACCCAAGGTGATAAGAGATCAGAATGAATACAGCCATTCCGCCACAGCAGCCTCCATCTCTCCATAGAGAGTCCAATGACGCAAGTCCCTGTGACAACTTTCCACATCAATCATCCGTACCGTTCTCAGGTTTGTGAAGCCCTCCACCAAACAAACGTCCTCCCCCATCTGTCCCTGTGCCATCAGACATAGTACGGAGGTCAGGCTTCTTCCACTATTTTTAACAGAATTTCAAAGAAGTGTCTCGGATTCTGCTCGTAGCACAGAGCTCACACAACGGCGCTAGGCCATGGGAGCACTTTGTTCCTATGCTGCTGATGTCACGCCGGTGCCAGCATCTTAAATTGGTAAAAGTTCGGGGGTGGGACATTGTCACTTAGGCTCAGAGAACATACAGTGTCCAGACTCACTCGTAGGACCTCCGGTACGTGGAACTAGGAAAGAGAGATTAAACAAGCTTTGAAACTAAGGTAACTCTTTTTTTTCTCGATGTTTGCTTCGTTATGAGCTTTCAATAGGCTTTTCATTCTTAAGCTTTTAACTCCTGTTCCTGAACCTCAGGAATTTCTAACTAAGGTTTGTGAATGCAGAGGTGGGAATGCTGCATTTCTGTGCACCGTTAAATGTAGGTCAATGGTCATGAAGCTCTGAAAATGTGATAAGCAACAGAATCTCAGTTAAATTTTATTCAAAATAAGTCTGAATGTCAATGTTTTGATGGTTGTTTTTATATAATCTGTTATTGCTCTGCTTAAGATGTAGAACATTAAACTTTAGAAATCAGTGTTGGTATTGTTAACTAAATATATAAAAAAATGTTTATCTGAAATACAGCTGAAATAAAAGAAAATATATTAGGTTAAAAAAGCTAATCATGAATCTTAAACAAAGAGTAGAACTGTTGCCTTGGCTAACTGAAATAAATATGTTTAAGTAGAAGTCCTAAAATTACTAAAGCTTTAAAATTTAAATGTAATTTAATTAAAAATTATTTGATAATGTAAATAAAAATGAAAGCTAAGAAGAAAAATAAACTAATAAAATTAACATAATTGCTAAATTTAATATGCACTTCAAATAAAAACAAAACCCAAAATATTAATAAATAATAGAATATTAATAATAAATATATTTATAATATTCAATATTAATATTAAATAGTAATATTAAAACAACACTGCATTAGATGTTTATTTATTATAAATACAACCTCTTTATTAATCCTGTAAAATTTAGTTTTGGTTACATAAATAAATAATGAAGATAACAAATAGGTTTGTTTTGTTTGATGTGCGTTTAATTGTTTATTAACTGTTTATCAAAATTGTTACTAATTTAGTGTTGTTAAATGTACTGTTGTTTAAAAATCTTCATCTTCAAAAAATCTTCACGAGAGCATTGTTTAAACAAAAACCCAAAATAAGAATAAGAATGTTAACAGGATAGGTAAAATAATGTAATTTAATAAAGTGTTGTCATACTTGTCTCTCTCTCTTATCCTACCATAGGCTGTCCCCTCTGTCTATGTCGTGCCCGTCCCCTTCTCTCAGTGAAATGCCTTTTGGCCGCAGGCCCACCTTTCACCGAAACATTTGCACCAAAGTGCTGCTGGCTGAGGGCAGAGAGTCACCCTTCACTGAGCACTGCCGCAACTTTGAGAAGAGCTACAGGGTAAGAATTAGTCCTCATTCAGTAATAACTGCAGCCATATAGTCTTTTATAAAGATTTATGTTTTTTATTCTGTGTGTGTGTAAGGTCTGGATAAGTTAGTGTACTCCTAAACATTGACAAAGTTAAACAATTATTAGTCTTTTTAAAAACGAGTGTCAACTTTTTAATATGTTAGCCTCAAAATAATTGTTTAATGATTCATAATGATTTTAATGATTCTGTCATGCATACTATAAACATGATCTCCCTTACACTCTTTTATAAGTTTCTTTTATACCACATTAATTGTATTATTTCACAATTTTTGAATGCTGCTGCATTTCAGTTATTTGCAACCAAGAGAATAAAATGCTTTTTCATTCCATGCATGTATGCTCTAAACAATGTTTGTTTGTCTTTTTGGGGTCTCGTAAAATAACGGTTGTGTATATGTGTATTATTTTATTAATTCCATGCATTTTTAATGCGCCAGGTTCTTCAGACAGAGGTCCAGAGGCTGAAGGACGAGGTTCAGGAGATTCACAGAGACCTAACAAAACATCACTCTCTCATCAACACGGACACTATGGATGAGATCCTGGAAAGGTCTGTACTCATTGACGAACAGATCGTGTCTCAGTATTCTGCTGTGCAGACCCAGAGGGCCATATTTGAGGAGGTGAGGCTAAATTATAATTCCTGCAAAACCATTATTCTTTCAAAACACAGCAGCAGCTTAGCATATTCTGGATGTCTTTCTAGATATGGGATGTGACCTTTCAAAGAGTAACCAAAGAGCAAGAGATCTACGAAGGTGAGGAAAAACAAGAAGTTGTCTGTGCTGCCTCAGGGTTCATTTTACCATGCATGTTAAGCTGTTTCTTTCCACTAATTAGTCAACTAATTCATTTGGTAATTACAGCACAGCTCCATGACCTTCTGCAGCTGAAGCAAGAAAATTCCTACTTGACAACCATTGCACGACAAATTGGACCCTACATCTTATCCATAGCAAAAGTAAAAGAGCGTCTGGAACCCAGGTTGTTTTTTTGTTTTATTATTGAAATATTTATATATTATATTTGAATATTTTACTTCAGCATTCCATTTGCTTAAAGGAATAGTTCACCCAAAAATTAAAATTTGCTGGAAATGTACTCACCCTCAGGCTATCCAAGATGTAGATGAGTCTGTTTCCTCATCAGAACAGATTACATCACTTGCTCACCAATCAATCCTTTGCACCATTTACAAGCGATTTTGGAACAGTCCAAAACTGTTCCAAATAAATATTTTAGATGATTTTGATGTGAGAGGACACCAGGAGACTGAAGGAAGCATTTTTATAGATTATGGATTGCAAAAGCGACAGCTTAAAGTTAAAATACCGTAATGATGGATTTGTTTCTTACAAATACTCAGCTTTTCACTTCACAAGACATTAATTGATGGACTGGAGTCATGTGGATTACTTACTGTGACATTTTTACCTGTTTGGAGGGTGGGTACATTTTCAGCAAAATTTCATTTTGGGGTGAACTGTTCCTTTAATTTAGGTAGTTGAATATTTTAGTCATTAAATTGTATATTGTTGATGTATTACACAGGTTTCAAACGCCTGAGAATGACTGCGTGGACACTGTAGTGAAAATATGTGAGGACAGTGCAATGACTGCTGAACAAAACCGGTTTGCATTTGATGTTACTATAACACAGCTCAAAGTGCATATATTAAAACTTTATAAGACAGAATGACACATCATTTCTTCCTCCAGCTGCAATGAGAAGAGTCGCTCAGCAGGATATGATCGGGACCCTGGCACAGACAACTCTCTTATCCTGCCGCCTGGTGAAACGCTACTAAAGAGCAGTGACTTCTGCTGGCAGGGAAAGCAGATAAATATTTCAAAGGCCTCTTGCGGCAAAGAGCTGCCACTATAGAGCTGCATGTCAGATGATGGGGAACACTGACCACAAATGTGGCATGTACTTTCAAGCATGTGCTAGATGTCAACACATGAACATGGGGCTTTACAGTAACTGAAAAATAAGAAGGGCATGAATGGAATATTGATAACATGAGTGTGTCAAATCAAATGGACCTTAACTATAAACCGTTTGGATCGGATGGTCCATAAATGTTTCACAGACCAGTGGATTGTGATTTTTTTTGTTTTGTTTTGTTGCTGACTATAAAATGTAAACTTTAAAAAAAACAAACATGAAAATTCGAAATAAATAAGTTAAATAACTTATATAAGATAAAGTACTAAAACTGCTAAAGCTAAAACAAAAAAATAGATTAACACTAAATATAAATATTAAAAAAAAAGAAAATGACAAAAACGCGTAACAAAAATTTTAATTAAATTGTACAATTAAAGTATATTGAAAATATAAATAAATACTAAAGTATATAAAAAGAGTAAATAGGAAATATTTTAAACTAAAATTATGTCATGATTGTGTGAAGAATTCGTAAAAGCTATGTTTCATAAAATCCTAGCTATGTTTTTATGTGTGCTGTCAAATAAATACTGATTGTGAGTGCTGAACAGCCTTTTTGAGCAAAACTTTAATAAATAAAATATAAGAAATCATCTATTTAAAAAGTTCAAATATTTGCTTATCCCTCATATCAGCTGGATGTTCATTAAAATACATTTAGAGGAACACGGGAGACCATTTGTATACCAGTGTTAGAGAGTGGGGGTTTTCAGCGCACTACAGCCATTAAGTTTCTGTGAAATGTTGGGTCTGCTGATCATGGCTGTCATCACCTTCCCTGTGTGTAATAATGGAAAGAGAACTTAACATAGCATCTCATAAGATCAGATTACAGCACTTCAGACCAATGCCCCAGAGAATACTGTATAAACAGACATAAATTAACACAGATTGAAGGATAAACAGCTAGCCAAGTGTGGCAAGCAACCATTCGAAGAGATTTATGAAAAAAAGACAATGATCATGACATACATTTAAGAGATATTTGAAATGAGTAGCCAGGTTTGACATCAGTGTCAATGGTGATACATGAGAACCAACGGTATTTAACTTCAAACGTGTGACGCAACTACAGGGAGCATATTTGAATTTGCATACACTGTTAAAAACAGTTGTGCTGCTTAATATTTTTGTGTAAACAGTGATGCTATTTTTTTTTTTTAGGATTCTTTGATGAATGGAAAGTTCAAAAGAACAGCATATATTGGAAATACATTTTTAAAAAAGTATCAATGTAAAAGTGTCACTTTTGATCAATTTAACGTGTACTTGCTGAATAAAATTAATAAAGAGTTAGTTCACCCAAAAATGAAAAATCTGTCATTAATTACTCACCCTCATGTCGTTCCAAACTCAAAAGACCTTCGTTCAGCTTCGGAACACAAATGAAGATATTTTTGATGAAATCCGAGAGCTTTTTAACCCTGCATTGACTACAACACAACTACCACATTCAAGGACCAGAAAGGTAGTAAGGACATCGTTAAAATTGTCCATGTGACATCAGTGGTTCAACCGTAAAGTTATGAAGCTATACCCATCAGCCCACCATGACAAGCTCTCTTCTCTTCGATCTCACCTGCCCCTGGCTCAGCTATAACTGGCAGACAGTTGTCTTCAAAACAACCATTAGACATTTGTAGTGTCTGTTTTTTATTTTATATGAGAAGGAGGCAGAGCAACACTCTCTCTCTGTCATGTTGGATTTTTGTGTAATTATTTTTGTTTTATTTTATTGTACAAGGACCTTTCAATGCACCCTGATAGATTTCTTTCACACGTTTTTCTGTACTTTTATGCTCCAACAAGGTCAAACAATGACTAGAACAGCGCTGTCTAATACCAGACTAACCTTATGGCATGAATAAAGCTACAGAGCCACAACTCCATACATAAGGTGAATATGTGACACAGAATGCTTAGCTGCACAGTTACAGAGAAAGAAATGGGGTCAACGCGACCTTCAAGAACAGGCCGCCAAAGTTAGTCAGACTCATTAAAAATACATTTGGTGACAGCATATTGGAAAGCGCGATGAAAGAACAAGAGGACTCCTCGTCTCAACAGTCATATATCATCTCCTCCCTCCCGCCCTACAAGGTCTTCATAAATACACACAGAGGCCTTATTCTTCCTCATGATATTAGCTTTTTTTCTAAGGTTGAAGAGGTGAAAGATGCTTACCTGGTTCAGCTTATTTCTGGCGGTTTGATCCATATGAACATCCACAATTCTCTAATGATTTAACTTAATAAATGACTTAATAACTTTCTCAAAGTGGACACTGCAGGTCCTGCTTAAATTACTGTACTGTGATAATTCACTCCAGAAAATGTATTTGAATATTTTTGACAACTGTTTCAACGTCAAAGCAGGATGAACCGTTAAAGCGCAGTAGCTACTGTCTATTCGCTCCTATGAATGAATCAGTGTTTTTGAAAGAATCAGTTGAGTGAATTCAATGACTCACACATAGAGGCATTTCCTTGTTTCCTGTCTGAGTGAATTTGAATAAGTTAAATGAATGACTCAGTGATATAGGCTATTCACTTTTTTCTGAACGAATCGTTTGAATAAATGGTTATGACTAAACTCATTAAGACAGTAACTTGTCGCCACCTACTGGGGTATCGACGAAACATGCAGTGGTTTGGTAAACTACGTTGAAGTAGAACAATGTCACAATCAATTATTTCCTAATTAATATTTTTATTTTCATATCTGTTTTGTATTTGTGCTTAGGTCTGTCATCACTTTGACATGTTTTTGAAATCGTACTGTTACTGTAATGCAAAAAATGCATAGGCTACCTGTCAATCATGTTGTGGGAAATGTGAAGGAGTGAAACTGTTTCATTATGTCATTGCATAACAAAAATGTACAATACTTTCTAATATTCAAATATAGTTTACATTTTATAATAACTTTCATTAACAATACCAACCAAAATTATTACAAATTAAAATTATTATAAAATGCAAAACAGGTGATTAGTTTATTTGTATTCAAATATATGTCATGAAATGTTGAGATATATTATTATTTTTATTATTATTGTTAAATGTAATATATTATTTAAATCAAATATAATTACATTTCAATGAATATATTCAATGCAATACATATAAATGAATGCTTGTTAATGATTTCTTAATGAAAGTTATTACAAAGTGTCACAGAGAATCAAATAACATTCATCAGAAGGCTGCACGACATCACAGGAAAGCAAGTAAACAAAAATAATGCACAATCAGAACAAAGTTATAAAGCTCTTTCCCCAAATGGAAAAAACATTGTCATCAACTTTGGATTCAGCGATGAGTTCAACTCAGAAGGCAAAAAGAGAGCTCTTATATATCGTACAAAAATAGCATGTGTAAAAAGGAATCAGTCATTTTCAAAATCTGTCCATTCACTGCTGACTGCCACTCTTTCCAAGTTTGATCATTCTGTCCGGGCATTTGCATTAGAGTTTATTTTCCATAAAACATCTCCAGAAGAAGTTCCTCCATGTTGACAGCGCCAATGACCGGTTTGAAGAAGAGACCGGCCACCACGTTGGCGTTGATGGATCTCAGCATGGAGAGGGCAAGGAAGAGTTTGGCGAATCTTGCACTGTCCCCGCGGTGAATCATTTTGACATATTCATTAAGTGCCTGGTTCGCCTCGCTCTGCAGGGCCTGGATGTAATGTTGACACTGCAGCCCTGCAATATCTAGGAACAAGAGATGGAAAGAGACTTGTTATATCCTGTACCAGAAATAACTTGATGATGTGAAATAGATACCTTTTGATTGCCTGTACACTTGACTGTAATTCTCAAAATTATACATTTTTGAAAACAATTCATGATAAACAAAGAAACATATAAACTTTGATTCATATATTGTCATATATTCATATTTGAATTACTGATCTGTTACATACCCCAACATTATTATTATTATTATTAGCATATTATAGTAATTACAATATTTATTAGTAGAAGTATATTATTATTATTATTTATGAATTATATATACTATATAATTCATATTACAATATGATTAGATAATAATTCAATGTGACTTATATTAAAAGCAGCTTAAGCAAAACAAAGCACTATTTTTAAATACTGATATTTCTCTAGCTGTGTGTATTATCATCATTATTTTTATTACACAGTTAATGCTTATAAATATTATTAATTGCAATTTGATCTAAATTTAAGTCAAAGTTAAAAGCAACTATGAACTGTAATTTAGGTATGTATGTATGCATGTTTGCATGTATGTATGCATTATGATTATTATTATTATGATTAATATTAATTATTACAATGTGATTTAAATTTAAAGCAGTTAAAAGGAAATATGAACTGTTCTAATTTGAGTATTAATATTACTAATTATTAGGCTACAATGTGATTTAAATGTAAAGCAGTAAAAAGCAACTATGAACTGTCTTAATTCGGGTTTTATAATTATTATTGTTGTTGTTGTTGTTGTGAATGTTAATAAATTAATTTCAAAGTGAGTCATAGTAAAACCGGTTATTCCTAACGGCAGCTAGGAAGTGTCCAAATTCAGGTGTGACAGTGTAGCGAGTGTGTCTCACCTGGATTGAAGAGAATCGCCCCTTTTAAGTATGCGTACTCCTTAGTGCTTATGTCCAGTCCCCAGCATTTCCGCAGAAACATTTTAATACCCTGAACGTCGGTCAACGCCACTCCGCCGTTATTACTCTGGCTGTCCTGCTTGTCCTGTCCGCTCGTTAATATCCGCTGCAGCATGCTGGGCTCTTGTGTCTCCGAAGTCTCGAAGTCGATCCTGTCCTGCGCCATCCCGAGCACCAGCAGCGGCGCCCAGCTGCTCTGCACCAGCTTGTGCTGGTCATCCACCGGCAGCTCCCGGAAACACGGCACGTTCTTCACAAACTTCAGGGTCTTGACCAGGACCGCGGAGGCAGCTTTGCATGTGGTCTGAGGGTAGCGGAGAGACACCTTCCTCTTGGAGCCGCACGCACACGCGCGCATGGACAAGGCGAGCCTCGGGGTCCTCGGCTGGTTCCCAAGTTGCGCAGACTGACTGTCGTTCTTTAAAATGCTGTACAAAATGCTGTTCTGTCGCCTTTCGCTGCTGCAGTGGCAGCTGCTGTCA